CACCCAAGATGAGTCTTGTTTCTGCGAACATTGGTTCCATTGTTTCGAACCCGCTGTGGAAGACTTGGGACGCCGATGTGATCTGTCTTCAGGAGACTAGAGTAGCGAAAAAACAATGTCCGTTCTGCCACCAAGAACTTTGAGACAAAAGGATGGACTCCGTGTTTAGGAGCCCTTCTACCTTGTGTTTGGCACAAGACTGGCACCAATAAGACACCCTGCGGTGGGACCTTGGTGGCGGGCCCTGATTCGATTATTCAGCCATTTCGTGCTTGTCATGATCACACTGGCTTGTTTGATAAGCTTCATAAAACTCGAAGGGTAGCTTTTGCCTGGTGTCAGATTTCCCCCCACCGCTCCGCTTTGGTGTGTTCTGTCTATGCACAAACTGGGGCCTCCCAAGATGCTAAGATTCACCAAGAGAACAACTGTCTGTCTGATGACACCCTTACCATGGTCAGTCAATATGGTCAGATCCCGGTCATCATTGCGGGTGACACGCAGGCGTCCCCCGAATCTTATCCTGCTTTCGCCAATGCCTTGAATTTTCAGTCTTGGGTTGATCCGATTGCCGAAACTGACGACCTTGGTGAGGTCACCAGGCCACTCACCTTTTCCAATGATGGGTGCTTTTCTGGACCGGGGGACGGGTGTACCTCGATCGATGCTGTTCTTGTGAATGGTACTGCGTTTGCCGCGCTTTCTTCCGCAGAAGTCATTCAGCAATTCGGTAGACAGCATCGCCCTATTAGATTGACCTTCAATTGGGTTTCCCTCGAAGAGATCGGTTATGTCCATTTTAAATTCGCTGGCTTTGATCTAAAGTAAACATGGCCCTCACCAGGGTGGTTTCGATTCCTGCAATCGTTGGCACTCCACCTTCCAAGAGACCTTTGACAATGCCACGAATGTTGACGATAAGTGGACAATAGTCAACGAATTCCTGCAGGACTCAATCATTGCCAAAGGGGCTTCCTGGGGATCTGGGCCAAAGAAACGGGCCTCTGCGCCCACCTTTGTTTCGAAACGAGTTGCACCGAAGCAGTTGCTGTCTCGATGTGCCGCCACAGCCAAAAGCTCGAAGCTTGCCAAACTGATAGGTAGATTACAAGAACTACATACACGCCTGTCGCGACCTGCGGGGACTGACCAAGATTGCTTTCAGACTAAACGGACGGCGATTAAAGCCTATTGGAACTTGAGGGACTTCTCTGCCCCTGTTGGATGGAACAACCCGGCATTTCCCAGTCTTGTCGAAGTTTATTTGTCTCTCGTTACAAACGATTCCCAAATTAGGCTCGACCGTATCCGTCGATGGAAGAAGCGCATTAAGGACTCAGCCACCTCCGGGTGTTATTACATCTTCCAACACCTCAAAAATAAGCAGCAAGATGAGCCCCCAAATTTGGTTGTGAACGATTCCGGGGATGTCATCTATCAGCCAAGTGAGGCCCTTTCATACCTCAACTATGCCTGGGACGATGTCTTTGGGGTCAACGCTCCCTGTGAACACCCCGCCGTACATTGCCGATAAACACTCCCCTGTTGAGCTCCCAATGATCACTGGACAAGACCTTCGTCAAAACCTTCAGAAAAGAAAAGCTCAGGCAGCCCCGGGGTTCGATGGATGGCGCACTCTTGAACTGCAGACATTCACCCCTGATGACTTGGAGCCGGTCGCCTTGTTCTTTAGCCTGGTGGAACGTGAGGGTCTCCCCCTGCCTAAAGCATTAGTCTGCGCTAAACAGGTCATCCTGAACAAGCCGGGCCCCGCTTCCCCGATGAACAAACGCCTTATAACAGTCCTTCCAGCACTGTTATTAGCATACACCGGAAGTAGATATGCCCAGCTCCAGCAATGGCAGCATGACACTATGCCCCAAGCCATTCTTGGCGGCATTCATGGGCGCTACATGTCAGCCCTCTACAATGACATGCGCCTGCAGATTGATTGTGCCAAGCAAGATCATGTGACCCTTGTCGGCGTTAAACTCGATAAAGCCAAAGCATTCGATCGCATTGTCCCATCATTTGCTGCTGCCCTCTTTCTGGCTTTCGGCATCCCGAAAGCAATTGTTGGTGTGTTCCTCAAACTTTACCAGGGGCTACACCGACATCTTTCTTATCGTAAATGGGTCTCTCCCATTGCCACTACGCCAGCCAACGGCGTTGCACAGGGATGCTCATTCTCGCTTCTAGCGATGAATGCCTACAACAAGGTATGGTTCCATCTCCTCGAACACTTACCACACATTTGGGTTCGGACATACATCGATGACGCATACATGTGGGCCAAACTTGAACACATTGAATATCTCCAGAAGGCTATTGAAGTCACCAAGGTATGGGATAGGCTTGTGGGTCAAAAGCTCAATACAGGTAAGTCTTCCCTGTGGGCGACCACATCAGCTGGTCGGAAAAGTGCAAAAGCTTTCTTCCCGGACTTTCCAATTGCGCTTGAAATTGAGGTTTTGGGCCCCTTGGGCACAAAAATGTACACTTCGGACCGTGATGCATTTTGCTTTGATGAGAAACGCTTGAAAAAGGTTTTAGCCGATACTGATAACATCGCCGCTTTGCCGCTCCCACAACAAACAAAAGTCTTTCTCATTGGGGCAAAGATCATTCCCCAGATTGCTTTTGGTGCGCATATTTCCAAAATCCCGCAGGCTGCCATGAACTCCATCCAAAATGCCATTGCGAGGGCACTTTGGTTCGGTAGGCCTAAGTGGAGATCCCGAAGTCTATTACAAGCTGTTCTTGCCAAGCCGCATCGTACTGACCCCAAAATAGCATGCGCGGTGTGTACCATACTTGAAGTTTTGCGGATGTGTCAATCCATGCCGCACACGCATGACATGCTGAGGAGGACTTGGCTCAACAATCCCGGTAGCCACTCGCTGGCAAGCAGGCTCCAATCTGCGGCACAGTGCCTTGAGTTAATCATTGATCAAGAGCTTCGGTTGTCCTTTCATTGATCCCAGCCTGTTTCTATTTTCGTTGTTACTGCCAGAGAAGCCAATAAAGTCCTTCAGAATCTTGCCAGGAATGTTATCAACTGACCAACTGCCGGTCTAGAAAGGATTTCTTTTCGACAAGCAGGATCTTTGATTTCCAACAGACCACTGCGCTTCTTCATAAACTCCCAGTCGTGCAAGAAGCTTGGGGTGTCTCTAGCAAACACCGCCTTGAGTCAGTACTAGTTTGATGTACCCTCACAAATGACCGGTTAGCGGCCACGGGATGGATTGCGCATCCCTTTTGCAGATTCTGTGGTAAGGAAAAGGAGTCTCTCGCTCACCTGGTGTTCCATTGTGAGGAAGCTCATAGCCTGCTCGGCAAACCACGAGGAGACGAACTTGGAAGAAATTTTGCCCTGCTCGGCCATATCGAACATCCGCAATTTATTGCCAAAAGAAGATTGCAGTTCTCGTTGGCATCTGATTTGCAGGTTCCTGAATGCTTTGATGCCTATTCTTGCAGGCGGCTCTGGACTGATGGCTCGCTAGTGCACGATCCCCACTACGCAAGGAAACAATCTGTGCAAGTCGAAGCCACCATTCCTGGCAGGCCCAGGTTGGTGGGATTGTGCCACCAGCAAAAACAATATTGGCATGGTGGACGGCTGTTTCACAATCAGAAAAAATTTCCAGGCGTGTAGACGCAGTAATACAGGTAGAAATGATGGCCCAGGCCTCAGCAGCATAAGCTGATAAAGCCCAGTGGGTGACAAGACCCTGTTTGACAACCTCTCGTTGATCATTGACAACTGCATAGGTCGCAGTGGATGGATCCCCCCCCTTTTTCGGCACGATGGATACCAGCTATTTGCTTCGAGAACGTCCCTGATTCCATGTTGACCGAAGAGCTTGCACGTTGTAAGTCCACCACAACCGAGCATATTCTCAACAACCGCCTCTGTGATAGAACAGCGAAGACCCTGGCACAAAAACTGTCGCCTGTCAATTGTCAGGTCCAACGTGAAGCAGAACAGGTCATTGAACTCCACCAAAAGTGGCTCATTGAACTCCATGCGGCTTTGCCCACGCCAGAGGCACCGCCTACGCATGAGCAAAGTGAAGTTGTTGACTCAGATCCAGTTCTTTCTCCGGCTGAATGTCAGATGCGCTTTCCGCACTGGCCATGGGGAATCTCTTGCAGTGGCTACAAGTGGAAACCCAAGATTCCCACCGCAATTCCCACACCTGCCAAGTGGCATGGCACTTCGTACGATTGGAATCAAATTGTCAGTTTCCTTCGACAGCTGAGATGGTGTACTGCTGATGATCAATCCATTTCATTTTGTGAGCTTGCACTCCTTTTTCACCAAAGGAATTTTCGCTTTGAAGGAGACCAGCAGATCCTATCACTGTATGAAATTTACAAGTTGATGCGTGAAGCCATGCTATTTTTGTCGAAGCAGGATACACTTCAAGCCTTCCCGGGGCTTTTCCATTCGACAAAGCCTCGTTCCTGTGGAAGAGTTCTTCCCCAAGGTTGCATTGATTGTGCAGCTCCTTGGATGTCTGATCCTGAAAGGATCCAGCTGGTGAAAGTGTTTGAACTTGGTGCTGGCCGAGAGATTGACTCTTGGCGCATCCTCTTGTGTGATTTGTGAACTCTCTTTTGCATCGGGGAAACTCTCGTTGCATCGACCTGTGGTCGAGCACCGCGCTCAATCCACGTTTCACGGAGGATTTGAGAGCGCGCGAGATCGTATGGGATGGTATAGGCGGTACGCCTATACCTCGGCACGCCTTTCGTGAGACCCAGCCCACAAATGCCCACAACGTCCCACCAAAATCCTTCGGAATTCATGCACTTGTGCCGTGCGGTCATTGGGGATGGTCGAACAGAGCTGAGAGGCTGAGAGGCTGAGAACCGTCGGTCGAAGGGTCGGTTTGTTGCGTTGGAGCTTTGATTCGGGATGGTCCTGGATGTTGTAGGGACCGGGAATCCAGGCGTAGGGCAAAACCTCCATGCAACTGCACCTCCCACAGGAGAGCGTCGCTCGCTGTGTCGAGCCACAACTGGGTTGTCGAAGCTTTTGGCCGCTGGGCATCGGATTGGCATGGCACGCGTGGCACCCACAACGCATGAGGGTGGTCGCGCGCGTTGACACGTGCGGTTGTTGTGGTTGTGGTTGTTGTCACTGTTGTTGCTGTTGCTGTTGTTTTCCGTGGTGTTTCCGGTGTTGTGTTCGGATCCTTTTCAACAGTCTTCGATAATTATTGGAAACACGGTGTAAAACCGTTTGGATTTAGTTGCAACATCGAACATGATAAGCATCATGTGTGTTGTGATGTGGGCCTTGTCTTGTGCTGCATTGTGGGTGTCACGGAGAGTCTCGGTGGCTTCCAATGCAAACGTGGTGCGGACAGGGCTTCGTGCCTTTGGGTGGTTTTCCTTTAATGGTTTTGGTAGGTCATTTTTGCACGGAGCATCGAGTCTGGGAATGGAAAGAAACAGACGATCTCAGATGGTCAGCTCTTCATCCAGCCCTATCAGCCCTATCCAGCGAGCTTTAAGACGTCGAAGGTGGAAAACATCCAGCGTTCTGGTGAGCCGCGTTCCTGGAAAGAATTAGCATTTGACATCCATCCGCAGCTTTGATATGGATATCTTTGAAGAGTTAAAGCTGACCTACTTGAACTAGAATAATATGGTCCTTTAGAAGATTGGGCTGGACAGGGCAGGGTAGATGACTTACACCTGAGCTGCCCGGGTGTCGTGTCCTAGGCCGCATTTGCGGTCGCACTTGACCTACTGCCGGGCAGCACAAACAGGGACGGTTTGGGATGGGAGACTGGTCTGGCTGTGTATTTCAATACTGATAGGGAGACCCATAACCCATGAGCAGACTATGGCAGACTGGTCTATTTCCCGTCTTCCAGAGAAGGCCTTTGGGGGTCTCTCTATTTTTGAGGAGGTTGTGTGAAGGAGGTTGGGTGAAAGGTACCCTGGTGAAAACATTGCTTAGTCATGTCAGAAACAAAGACACGATCAACCTGGCTGGTGATCATTGATCATTTCAGTTGAGGGTTTGTACATAGACATACGTCAGTTTGGTTGTAGCTAGCAAGCTAAGACCCTCAGTTAGCTGAGCAATGGCAAAAAAAGACAAACGTCATTCATCGTCCTTCTGGTTGTTGGAGAATACAATCCAGTACTTTTTCTATAAATATTTGTTTGGCAATTGGGTTGTCATGGGAGTCCAAATCTAGACCCCAGGTCATAGCAGGGATGAACATGGATCACCATGAACTGTCCAACCCCGGATGAGGTTGAACTTAGGGCCATGTAGGGCCCTAAATGTTTGGGGACTGTCATAGACTATCTCCAACAAACAATGGAACTACATGTCTTGGCCCTGTAGACTACAATGTGTCTACCACAAGCATATGGTGTTGTTCATGTTGTTTGTCCACCAATGCATGCGACTTGTCCGATGCCGGGGTATTCCCATCATCCACTTTTCTATATGAGTCACCACAGTATACAACATACAGGAACGTTGAGTAGTACGTTGAGTTCATGTACCCCCCCCACCATCCCACTGTGACTTTCAATCCATCCGAGACCGATTTGGGGCAGGTTCCTTCCGAAACCCTCGGCAGAACCCCTCCATCCATGGAGGGGATGCGGCGTGGCGTCCCAGTGGTGTGGCGTCGGAGAATCTGCGGGCGATCTTTGTAGTTCCAAAGATTCGGACCATGCCAAGTGGCACTCCTACTGGGATTGGCATATTGATATAGTATGGCCTACCAGTCAGACTGGGATTCAATGTACAGATACGACTGGTTGCTTCAGATACGAGTCTTTTGGACGTGTCGAACGCGTGCAGCGATTGGATGTGTCGTACTATTCCCAGACACGACTAATCCCTAGGGCTCCAACATGCTCCAACCATATCCTCAGGTTCGGTGGTTAGACCCCCCTGGCACCCACCCCTGGCCCATCGAACCTCAGGAGGTGGGCCAGGAGCCCTAGGGAATACATGGGGTGGTAGCACGAACAAAGAACTCCCAGTTCCGTGGAGTGCTCCGGAGTCGGATGTTTCTATGGCCTCGCTCCGGAGCACTAACAACCGCACGAACCAGCCGGGATCAAGAACAATCCGCCACAAGCAACCCGAAGAGATCCGAAGAATTCTAGCGTTCTTGCTACTAGCGATGCCAGGAAACCCTAGTAGCGTTATTGTTCAACACCCATTTGCCGGAATCATGGTGGCCGAGTTGATCCAGACTAAGTAGATGCTCAGATTCAGACAATATGACCGTTTTCCTAGGGCGTTTCCAAAAATGACATTGCTTGTGGATGTCAATGCTGGGAGGCCTTTGGTTGGTATTGTTTGCTGAATTCAGCCACCCTAACAAATCTCTCCCTGACAGGTTTGACCCGAACCAAAGCAGCGGGCGAAGCAAACCACGCCGCCTTTGAGGGTGCATGATTCTGAGGGAAGTGATGTGTATGTTTCGTTCGCCGAGTTCTCAGAGAGTGATGCTCCTACAGGTTGACATCCAGTCACAAATCGAGCCAGCACGTCTTTGATTAGACCCTCACAGTTGGCCTGGCCGTCCCAAACACAGTCCCTGAGAAGGGGAGAAGACCGCACATGAAACAGCTACTGTATGTTTCATTCGGCGAGAGCACTTTCAATCCCCAGGGATCCAGTCGTACCTTCTCAGAAGGTGCCCAAAATCTAACACTGTCGAACACATCACCTAACCTGAGGTTCGGTATGACTGGATCCCTAGTAGAATTGTAGTGGTCTCCAAATGGATAGAAACAGTTCCCTCAGAATGAACCCGGAAAAGTCGGTCAAGGTTTGGTGAAGGAGTCCCTTCACCCCTGGGAACTGGAGGGTCAATCATAGCCTCCAGTTCGGAGGGGCCAATGATTCAGTCCCCTTGGAGATCAACTGTTCTATCTACTTGGAGGTCTAGGTCTTGTAGACATGTCCATCACTGTCCTCAGGGGTGGTTCCAGATGAAAGCTGATGTTTGCGCCTCGAGAGAGGCGTTTCTCAAGCGTTGGCCAGCGCCGTTTAGTTCAAGGGTTTCAGTCGATCTTCCTGTCCCAGACCATCCATGATAACTGGAATATTTCCTTCCATGAGGCCATGACCCCGTTACGGAGTAATATAGGCTCGCTATTGGGTTGGAGGTCATCGCCATGAGGCTTGCATGCTTATTCTTATGGTAACTCCTCCAGTCCCGATGAGGTGAGGTGAGGTGTTCCGGTGAGGTGTGCAGCGTGGAAACTGCTGGTGGGCGCCGCAAGGCCACTGTGCGTGGCGTTGGACCATCGGTGATTGTATTGGTCCCTATAGTCGGGTTGAATGAAGACCACGGTGATTCTCGGAACCACAGAATTCACAGGCTGAGAGCGCGGCTTAGCGGAACCACTCAGGTCCACATCGGCGAACGGTTTCCGTGTCGATGTGTCCTTTCAAAGCGAAACGCCTTCAGCGAAATAGCCCCCTACACGACCCTTCGAGGGACCAGGCTCAGTCTACCCAGCCCAGCCGCGACGACTATTCAAGTCTCTTTCATAAGCTACACAGCCATATCTACCAGCCTCCGAGGTGTCTATCAGCCCCGTAGACCTCGTGATGACCGGGGTGTCCCACAACCACCGGACCGATCCCGGTGACGGATCCGGCCCGGGGGCGACTTGATGCGACGACGCATGCCCACGACTGGCGGCGTCGGTCAAGGGGGGTCAAATAGGGTCTATATGGTGCATATATAAATATCCAAATACCTATAGAACCTGAATGACACCTTTTTCGGACCACCCACCACCCAAAATAAGTTTCTTTTTCCTATCAAAACAGAGGTCAAATGGGTTCCAGGTATATAATATATACATGCCCTATTGCAGGTGACACCAAAACGGTGACACCAGCCGGTTCCTTTCTTCGAAAGATCAGCTAACTTGACGGGCAGTACCTAGGGGCTGTTCTTCAGTGGTTTTCCCATGTTTTCCCAAAAGTCAATGTTTTCCATTTCTTCAATTGAAAAAGCAATATTTCATCCACCAACCTACGAATTTTTAGTGTTTTGCTTCTCTAGTATATAGTTGGTGTGCCGTTCTTCTTGGTATGGCAGAAGATCCACTTACATACGAGCTAGTGTGCTTGCCACCCTTGCGACATGCTTTTGCCTGGTAGCATGGCTAGCTTGCTTCAGCCAGCGTCACCACACCGTTCACAGCTGTTTGCCTCCACCTTTCCCGAACACAGGTGGGTGCCAAAGAAATGCTCGAGACGCAGAAGGCCAGCTTGCGGCTTTGACTGACCTCGTCAACCATCAGTCGCCCGGTTGTTTTTTTCGGGGCCAAAACACCTTCAGACCTTTTTATTACAACCTGGCAGTAGACATATAATGATATATCATGATATATCTATATGAGGCAGCTTCCTGAGTTGTTCTTGGTTTTGATATTCTATCAACTCCAGGGTGACTATTTAGAGGTTTGCACGACTGTGTGACAATGTCAAGAGTGCTTGGCTCCAAGGTGCATATGGCTGGTGCCACACCATGACGGCGTCATGTTCCATGTGTTCAGGGGGGTTGTTGAACGTTGGGCAGCTTAGCCGTGTGCACATCATGCAGGGTTTGAGATGCGAGCGTGTTTTTCTCCAGTTTGGGGAAACCATACAAAATACATACCGAAATATGCGTTTTGGGTATGTATAGGTCTCCCACACATAACCTTTCTGAGTACCTTTCAGGGTCTTGTGACACGTTTTTTCGTTTCGAGTTGGGGGGGCTTCACCCGTCTTTCGAACGTTATGGAACACAAAACATCACGGAGTGTTTCACAGCCCCGAGGCCTGAGACCTCTCCTGAGTTGACCAGGTTGAAAGCAGCCCTGAAACGCCAAAATCTCTTCCTTTCTGCAGAAAACCCAACCAACAAGGTCACACCTGTCCTGGACCTCTCAAGTGATCCTCTCATATTCAAAACGTCTCACAAGAGAGTCCCCCAGCAAAGGGGTTTGTTTTCAATGTTTTTGTAGACTTGATCCTGGTCGGGTAGGGATAGGTCGAAGCTTGAATGGCAAAATGAGGTCTTTGACCTGTAGGGCAACCTTTACTTGGGAGGATTGAACCCACTGACTCATGTGTTCCTAGTGAGTTGAAAGCGCCAGCCAGATGTTTTTGAGAGCTGCTCGATACCTTTTGCAAACACATCAAAAACATTTGGTTGGTATCGAACACCTATCAACATATACCACCTATCAAGTGGTTGTGTTATATATATATATGTGTGTTTGATTTGATGATTCTTGCGATCGCTCCATCGATTCCGATCGCTCCATCCATCAAAGACCGCTCCCTTGAAGGCTGTGGTGTTCTCCTTGTCGTTGTCGGGACGTGCGATGAAGAAAACCTTGGGATGACATGCTTGATTGGTTTTCTCTTCTGGAGTGTTTGTCCGTCGTGGGTCCATTGGTTTTCTCGTCTCATCTTCAAGATGTTCGCTCTTTGTTCAGTGGTGGCAAGATGAAGATCGGCAGCTCACAGCTCAAGTCGTCTACCGTGGCTTTGTGAGTGAAGTTGAGGTGAAGGTCGAGGTGATCCAAGGGATCCAAGTAGAGTGATGGCCTCCAACCTACTGTTACTAGGGATGGCCTCCCATCTACTATATAGGGATGGCCTCCCACCTGTGAGAACCATCTCACACGGGCGTGGCCTCCGTCTCCGCCAGGTCATGCGCGTGGATTTGGTGGCCTCCCCCGGCGAAGAGGCGAGCGTGGCCTACGCGGACCTGTCGGTTCGGTGGTTCGGTTCGTGGCGAGTTCCGTCGGTTCGATGGGGGACACCGTGACACCGGAGTCAGAACTCCAAGGAGTCAGGTTCGACGGGGTGGTTTTGAGTCAAAGCAGCAGCGCAGCTTAGCTACAGTGCTAAGCCGAGTTGAGGGATCTGAGAGTCACATATATAACTAGTTTTCAAGTGACTCTTCACTAATGTCTACAGTCACTATAGGGACACTAGGGACACCACATTAGTCACATACAGTCACTATGAGTACCCTAGTTTTCAAGTTAGATGAAGACCGAAATTGACATGGCTGCGGGTCATGGCACACCTACCCGGAAGGTCGAGATGGTGGACAAGGGCTCCAGGTTTTGACCCATCCCCAAATAGATTTATATACATGATTACAATATATTAATATATATAGTTTATGTTTATTCAGTTCATCCCATTAGGTCAAACTACAGATAGATCATCCCTCAACATATATATATATATACCAGCAGTCACAAAGGGGTGGTGTTTAGTCCCTAAGTGAGTGGATAATGGGCACCCCTAACCTCCATTAAGCACCCCTTTGTGACTGCTGGTATATATATATATATATTTATTTATATAGATTGATTGGCCGTAATGAACCATAATGAACTGAACGATTGATGTTTGGACCTTCAGTCCCAGTCCACCAGTCCTTGGAGCTTCCTTTCAGGTCACTCTGGATGTGACAGCTTCCCGCCGCGGTCAACGTGCAGTGGCTCGTGCGGCCGAGTGGCTCAAGGACGCCCCGAAACACGGTCACCCGACCCAGGTCAGGTCCAGGACCCAGGTATACCTGATTGGTGTTGGTGTTTGTTGGATGATCAACTTCAGTATACTTCAGCAACATGAGGTCTTTGACCCGGAGGGTATTAGATCCAAACAGGAAACCTGGCACCTGAGTCCACTGTGAAGTGCGAAGCTCGAGCCTGGTCGCGTCTCGATGCCTCTTGAACTGCACCGTACTGCTGACAGCGTCCTAGTTCTGTTGCTCCGCGCTGTCAACGCATCCGTCGCATCCATCAATCCAGCAGAGCGACTTGACCGCCAGACCATTCGGACTGCCACAGTTGCGGTCCATCCATATTGAGGTCCTTGGAATGGAATTGAATGGGGTCGGGTCAATGTAATTATCTAACAATTCCACAATTCCATGAATGCTCTGGGAGTTTGGGATAGCTCAATACCTTGAAATTCCAAACTACTCGGTGCCAATTCCAATCCTTGGCACGGTCAGCTCACTTAGAAGTGGACTGTGAGCCGTCCCAGTCCCGACCAGCCAAGAACTATAAAGGTTCAGTGTTTTGTGTCGCAGCGTGCCCCTTGTTACTAGTTTGTTGTATGGCCAGGAGCTACGTGGGTTCGCTACGCGTCCCTAGCTCCCTTCAGCTTCCTTTTCGATCGTTTGACGTCCTCCAGATCCACGTTCCGAGCAGCTTGAATGTGTTTGTTGAAGCGGTTTGGCAAAGGGTGAACGGTGGCAAAGGCTCAGAAAGAGCAGGTCCAAGAGGTGTGAAAAACAACCAACGCTGGAGGTCTTTTGGTGGAGTTTTCTTCCTTACCCAGACCATCAATGGGACTATGTGCCTTCATACCATCCGCAAATGTAGGTAATTACATGTGCCAGTCTCATGGATGCTTTGGGTGATCTTCCTTCTTTGCACCATCTCGCTTTCAGCAGGAGATCTTGGAGGCAAAAGCCGGCGATCCCCAGCTAGGCGAGCCCGAATCGTCCCAATGAATCGGTGTGGTGTTGGAGATTGGCCCAGTCTTTTGGCGGAGGTTGGATCATTTTTTGGTATCGAATCTAAGATCTCAAGCAACATTCTTCAGGGGGGTTGAGGGACCGGGACAGAACTGGAGGGGCGCTGGAGGGGCCCAGGAAAGGTCCAGGGCCCAAAACCCACGCGTTTCGCCACACGTTTGGCCTTTTGGATCTTTTGGAAGGTTCCTGGGTCGATGGTTGTGTGGAAGACTTTTTCAAGGACCTGCCAGAACCTATTGCACCTAGACATGAAATATAAGGAGGCTGCCAAACAAGATGGAGCCCACGAACCCGAATGCAAACACGTTCAAAAAGCTACGTATGTCCAAATGACACTCTTGTAGGACACTCTTGTGGGACACTCTAGTAGCAAACTCTTGTGGGACACTCTTGTAGGACACTCTTGTGGGATACTCCTGTAGGACACTCTTGTGGGACACTCTTGTGGGACACTGTTGTAGGAAGCTCTTGTGGGACACTCTTGTAGGACACTCTTGTGGGACACTGTTGCGGGACACTCTTGTGGGACACTCTTGTGGGACACTCTTGTGGGACACTCCTGTAGGGCACTCTTGTGGGACACTCCTGTGGGACACTCAGGACACTCTTGTGGGACACTCTTGTGGGACACTCTTGCAGGACACTCTTGTGGGACACTCTTGTGGGCCACTCTTGTGGGACACTCTTGTTGGACACTCCTGTAGGGCACTCTTGTGGGACACTCTTGTGGGACACTCTTGCAGGAAACTCTTGTGGGACACTCTTGTGGGACACTCCTGTAGGACACTCTTGTGGGATACTCTTGTGGGACACACTCTTGTGGGACACAGTTGCGGGACACTCTTGTGGGACACTCTTAAGGGACACTCTTGTGAGACACTCTTGCGGGACACTGTTGCGGGACACTCTTGTGGGACACTCTTGTGGGACACTCTAGTAGGAAACTCTTGTGGGACACTCTTGTAGGACACTCTTGTGGGATACTCCTGTAGGACACTCTTGTGGGACACTCTTGTGGGACACTCTTGTGGGAAACTCTTGTGGGATACTCTTGTAGGACACTCTTGTGGGACACTCTTGTAGGACACTCTTGTGGGACACTCCTGTAGGGCACACTCTTCGTACGAGACTTCCTCCAAAAGTCACGCTGCGAGGCTGCAAGACGAGCGTTTCGTACGAGACTTCCTCCAAAAGTCACGCGTCAAGTCTCAAAAACGAGCGTTTCGTTCGAGACTTCCTCCAAAATTCACACGTCGAGTCAAGTCTCCAAAACGAGCGTTTCGTACGAGACTTCCTCCAAAAGTCACATGTCAAGTCCCCAAAACGAGCGTTTCGTACGAGACTTCCTCAAAAACTCACATGTCAAAGTCTGCAAAACGAACATTTCGCACGAGACTTCCTCCAAAAGTCCAGCGGAAACACCCATCGGAGCACACACATCACGCAGCCCTGCCAAGCAGTTTCGCGATTCCAGCCCCTCCAAACGACACCCGCTCACACGCCAATCCCAATGTGACAGCGACATTCACCTCTACCACAACTCACAACCTCCCGATTCCCTGCGCCTGCCACGAATCTTTCCGCGTCCACACGTCTAACGCGCACAAAGTACTGCGCCTGCCACGAAATGTCACCTCCGTCACACATCGCAACCTCACGAGTCCCTGCGCCTGCCACGAAAATCCCACTTCCACACCTCAAAGCCCGCACAAAGTCCTGCGCCTGCCACGAAAAGTAACAATGTCATCTCATGTGAGCTTCAACAAAATTTGCACCACACCACACGTTTGGAATGATTTCGACCCGTTCTGAGCACACTCCCATCCACCAAAATCGGCGTTTCAGCTGAGACTTGTCACGAAAACAGAGCTTCGATGCCACACCCTGAAACGCAAATTCCAATGGCACGGCCACATCCAACACCCCAAAAACACGACTCTCCAAACGCTAATCCCAATGGAACTGCGCAGCAATCTGCAGATCTCACCAAACGCTGCGCCTGTGCAGCCGAAACGCATCACGTTGCTTGCGCGACATGTCTTTTTCATGCAAATCACAATGGAATAGCGGCGCAAACTGACACGTGACACATCCATGAATAGTCACTTGCAAAAGCTTCCCCCAATGGCAGCGCCTTAGCGCTCTACCGCGAACGGTTGCGGACGGTTGCGGACGGTTGCCGACGTATAAACAACGGATCGCGAACAAGGCTCTACCCCCAGACCCCCAAGAGTTAAACGAGAACCCTTCGCTACGCATTCGGGAAAAACGCTCCCAGTTATTTGACATAGACGGCCTACAACTTGGCAACCCCAACTCAGTTCCTTGCTCCAGACTTGCCTCGAGCTGATGCCATTCGCTACTTTCCTCAGATCGGCTCACGTTCGGTGCATCCTCCGTCGGACCAATTGGGTGCGAAGGTGATCGAACGGGCTCACGGATGCTCACCCTGTATTTTTACGGAGAAAGGTCGACTCATATCCGTTTATCCAATGGATGAGGCGGTTCAACATCTGTAAATCCGTGACATTTCCTCAGAGCAGAGATATGCATGCTGAACTCATGACTGAAGGCTTTGAGAAGCTTGCCGAGACGAGATGTGAGAGATCTCATGCCTTTTACTCACTGTGCCCTCAAGCAGAAAAGACCAACTGAATACCCAACTCGCCCGAACACTCGAATTCCGCCCCTTTTCACCCGCGCGCGACGCGAGACGCGACACCCGCGCGAAGCGGTTGACTGCAGACTTTGACTGGCACGTTCTGGCGAGCCTCCAGGTTGGAGGGGTGAGCATCGGTGGCTTTTTGGGGGGGGATGAGTGGATTTACGTGGATTTGGGCCATTGAGAGTGCGCAAAGCCAAACCTGGAAATGGAAGGGAAGGTTTGGAAGAGAATGAATTTACCCAAGTGGGATGTGGGATCTGTCAGATTAGAAGCTCTAGGACCCCTTCTGGCATCTAAAAAGGGCCACCTTCCGTGACATTCCGAGTCCAACATCAAAACACTTGGTGACCCAAGGGGATGGTTCTCCTACCGTGTCCCACTGTACCAAGACCATCGGGAAGTACACCATAGACTCTATAGACCTCGCAGAGGATGCGAATTCCCTCAGCACTCAACAGTCACCCACTTTCACTCACTTGGGTGTGTATTTTGAAATAGGGGAGACCCAAAGTGCCCCAAAGACACCCAAAGTCAAAAGTAAACATCCATGACAACCCCATGGGTTTCGGGGTCTGAGTCTCTTCCAGGTCCAGTGCACTCACTCAGCACTTACTACCGTATACGCTCCCTCCCCTACTGGTACTCAGCGGGGATGGGAGGCTCGGGCCGAATCCTCACACAAAGGGGGTCCCCTCACCGATAAGAGATGTTCACATGGCGCTCATCATCCACACGCACTTCATGGCATTGTCATGTATTGTATCTACCTGGAGTCGCGTTTGCCTGATTTGTTCAGCCATTTGCGAATATGCCGTAATGACCAGGGAATATGGTCAAAGTTCAGCTTTATCCGTAATGACCAGAAAAGATGTCAGTCAAATGACTGAAATCGCTGGTTGTTTTTTGGCATATTTGACCCAAATATGGATACTACCCGAACAACGCCCCCCAAAAAACAAAATAACCCAATAAACACTCAAAAACATATGTTGGCCTTTTCCCGGAAATGACAAAAAATACGGAAATAACAGCAAATCGTAATGACCAAAAAGAACGGCCATGGCCGTACGACCAGGAACATGCAGCCATTTGAAGTTTCAGGTATGAATTGCTATACATGCTGGTATTATCATGTATCGTATTGTCATGACAATACTATGCATGTATTGTATTATCATGTATGGTCATTCCTCTTCCTGCCGCTTTTGCCTCCTCTGGGTCATACAAAAGCTTCACATATGGGGGTTGTCCTGTCCTTTGATACTGAAACCTAATTATATACTGTATGGGTTGATTGTAGGCATACCTGATAACAAATAGCTAGGGCTGCCCGAAATGTCTTTCCTGCAGAAGAATCGACAAAAGCGTCGCACAAGAAAAAAACAAGTCCCAGCATGTCGCAGCTAGTTGTGAAAAGGGGCATGTTGGGGTACCGACCTGCATGGTAAGTTGGCCTTTTAGCCCTGATGCAAGACTCGTTCATACGAGAATGAGCCAAGCTTATTTCGATGATTGGGATGACCAAGAAACCTGGTTTCATGATGAACCATTCTCACCCACTCGCGCGCGCGCGAAAAACATGCGACCCTTGCGATCCTTGCATCGGCCAGGGTGGGTCTGACTTGAAGTTGCGGCAAAAGGTGTGGCAAAACGACTCAGGGATGGTCAACTACCAACAGAGATTGAAGAGCCCTATACACGCTATCCCATAGGTGCCCCAGGTGACAGGTACTCTTTCAGGTCACAAAAAGACCTCTGTTGGGAGACGTCCAGACGTGGAAACTACCTCCAACAAGCTGTCTTACGCTGGTTGGAGGCTAAGCTCATATGGAGGGGTCTGGGGTCTCAAATCCCTAGGTTTTCAGGGACCAAGGGCGTGAACGGAGCGTCTGGGTAGGGCTCAAAGTGGGTTGGATCGTATAGGGAAATGGACATATATAGCCTATATAGCCTTTAACTTTTGAAGCTAAAATAAACCCGGAGTTCAGATTGGGGGGGTGACACATGCACTTTGAACATCCGAATTGTGGGGGGAGTGGGGGCATATTGCCTGCAACCTGGTCCACCGGACTTGAGATCCACAGTTGATTGTCGTATACAGTGGTTTCAGAGGTTCGATGGCACTGGCACCCCAAGGTGTAGACCTCCGAAAAAGAGGTGATCAGACAGATGGCACCACCGAAGTTTGGGTCTTTCAGATGGCCATCTACCCTAAGAATCCTTGGGCTCTCCATGGCAGGGGTCGGACCCGACACCTTCGCAGGGGTCCGGACCCTCAAAACCCTATCTGTTTGAGGGCCCGGATTCTTAGGGTACTCTCAATCCGCTGTATTCCAAATCAATGCATCACCTGTGGCTCTGCAGACTGCACACACGGCTCGCAGAGTTGCTGCCCGTGTGGCTCGCTAAAAAAGGGCCGCAGCGCAAGGTCAAAAAGCGGTTTACGCAGCAATCGAAACGGAGAGAAATCGGTAAACACCAAATCCCCAAATCCCCAATGAGAAAGCACGGATTGAGCATCCGCAGGAGCCTTCTATAAGGGAGCCTTCTATCTATCAGCTTCATTCGTCACTCGATCGATCCAGGATCCAAACGGGTTCACTTCAGGCCAGCGAGGCGGCCGCGGCGATGCCGGTGGCGGGTTATTGGATTGGAGGCGCACCGACCTCGGCTGCCGCGTAACGGTCGGTGGATGAACAGTTCTGTGACATCGTTGAAGAAACCTGTCAACCAGGGGTCATGATCGACGGGGTGGTGTGGCTCGTCCCATCCAGTGAGTGGATGTTCTGGGCACCCGTACCCTCTATGGATCGCACCCCTTTGTGACTGCTGGAAATTGATTCTTTGATATAAGATTGTTTCAGAATAATTCTGGATATGTTATGCATCAGGCGTTCCTCCTGTGTTCCTTCTTATGGTTTCACCAGATCGTCGACCAGGAGGATTTTGTTGAATGCAAATGGACAACCACCTGTTTCATCCTGTTTCGTATTCGGAAAACTGTCATCCCTTTCGGGGTCATGCCCATCAGATTCTCGTAACTGACCGGTGACGGCATGTGATGGCAACTTGGGGTCACTTCCTTCACTGAAGAAGGGGCTCGTGGATCCCACTCTAACCACCATCCATTGGACTGGAATAGTACCCTATATGGATGGTTTGGCACCATTGAAAAGGCCCAGAATCAGATTTCATGCCAGACGGTCGACTGGATCCGGCGCCAAAAACGGATCGTCCAGGCCTGGGCTACAGCGAAGTGCTGTCACAACGAGCACCAGCATTGGAGGCGGAAGGAAACGGCGAAGCAGCGTTGGGCAGCCCGAGATGGCCAGTGAAGCAGGTGCCATAGCCAAAGAACTATCAACGAGAAGTAGAGACTAATAAGAAAAGAGGACGGAAAGAGATACTGGACGATAGAAGTGAATGAGATGAGTGGTGTGTGGTAAGTGGTAAGTGGTCAGAGGTGTGTGATGAGTGGTGTGAGATGGGTGGTGTGACATGAGTGGTGTGTGGCGAGTGGTGTGTGATGAGTGGTGTGAGATGAGTGGTGTGTGATGAGTGGTGTGAGATGAG